TATGAAAGTACTTTTATAAAAGCATTTTTACAAAAGCACTTTTATGAAAGTACTTTTATAAAAGCACTTTTACAAAAGCACTTTTATGAAAGAACTTTTACAAAAGTACTTTTATAAAAGCACTTATACAAAAGTACTTTTATAAAAGTACTTTTACGAAAGCATTTTTATAGAAGCACTTCTACGAAAGTACTTAAGTACTACAAAAGCACTTATATGAAAGTATGTTTACAAAAGCAGTTATACAAAAGTACTTTTATAAAAGCAATTCTATGGAAGTACTTTTATAAAAGTACTTTTACGAAAGCACTTTTACACAAAACACTTTTATGAAAAAACTTTTACAAAAGTGCTTTTTCAATGCCAAAAGGGTATATTTTTGTAATTTTCATATTTCTTCATTTTAATATATTTTTGTAATTTTTATATGCTCTATTTTTTATATATATATTTTTTGGTATTTCACTTGGTTTGGATTGGATCCAATCCAGTCCATTTACATTTTAATGAATTGGATTGGATTTGGTTTGTATTAGATTTGGGTTGGATTGGGTCCAGTCCATTTGTAAGTGGACTCACATTGGACTGGATCAGGTCGGACCAAATCTAGTCCAATTGACACCTATACTCGATTATTTGATAATATATGCTCCAATGTGCAATACCCCTAGAATTGAAAAGAATCACAATAGTGAAATTATCACATTCAATTTCAACATTAAAAATATTATGATGGTAGCATAATTTCAAATGATTCTAGAGGGCATTAATTTCAGCTTGAATAGAAATGCACTGACCATATGACATAGAGAAATTTGTTAGAAACCTATCATTGTTGTCTTGTACAATCTCGCCACCTCCTCTGAAGCCTAGATTTTCCCTACAAGCAACATCAGTATTTAATTTGAATTTGACACAAGGAGGAGGGGACCAGTTTACCCATTTGCAAGATCTAGGAGAAAGAGACTTAGGGGGGGTGTTCTTTTTTTCGGATTTTGAGAGGGGGGGAAGTTGGTCAATGGGATTTTAGTTCCCATTGTCCAAGAATCCCATGTTCTTTTTTCAGATTAGTGTGGGGACTTGGGAAAGTTTATTTTCCTAGGTATCATACCTATCTCCTAGGTGGATAAATAACTTTCCCACTTGGGGGAAAAATTTCCAACACTTGAATGGGACAAAAATGCTCCTTTAATGAATTTTTATGGTTAAAATGGTCATTTCCTTTTTTACTTGGGAAATAAAAGAACATGAGTAAATACACTTACCCGAGTAAGTGTTTCTCAGGAAAAACTTACCCAGATAATTGCCTTTACCCGGGTAAATAACTTATTGAAAAGCGAATGAGGCCTTAAGGGGAATTGGGAGGGTGATTACCCATCTTGTATTGTCATCCATAGATTTAGAGGGGATGCCACATTATTAAGAACAAATAACTAATTTCTAATGCACTGAATAATCATACTTGCTAAGAGAAATTTACCATCAAAAGTTCGATTCATCTTTTATACAAAGTTAGATTCATCTAATCAAAGTATATTTCATAGATTTTAAGTTCCTTCTATAAAAAAGTTAGTTTCATCTAATAAAAAAAGATTTCATTTCATTGAATCTAATAGGTAATCTCTGGATGGGTTGAACACTCATACAAGAGTGGAATCAATTGTCTATTCTTCTGTTCTTAACAATCAATAAAATGCGAATTTTGCATCTCAAACAATAAAGAAGAAAATTTCAAAATTCTTTGGTACCAAGTTAGATTCATCCAATAAAAATATATTTTATTGAGTTTAATCCATATTCCATAACCTCTGGACACTTGGCAAATAAAGAGCGGAATCCTATCATCATCATGAAGCCTTGCCAATTGTAGCAGCCTTGGTGTAACCTTTTAAGGTAAAACAGGAAGCAATACCAAAGAGTGTGAAAGCATCACACAAGAATGTTGAAATTTCATGGGAAAATGGTGGTCCAGAACTAGTGGAGAATAAACATTCACATTTTCAAACTTCTCATTTCAAAATTCAAACTTTTGTTTAAAAAAATTCCCAACCCCACTCACCATCTTTCAATGTTTAATTCATAATTAGTACTGTCTTATGTAAATAAAAAAAATCAATTAAAATAAAGAATGTGGCACTTATTTTCCTTTCTAATTATATTGTTTAATTTCCTTAATCATTCGCAGACACTTTTTTTTTTTTTAATGTATATTTCTCTTTCTCCCTTTTGGAACCACGGAAATTGAATCAAAGTGTTCCAAATGATCTAAATAACTATAACTTAGATTTTGTTATTGAATCAATGTTAAGCTACTTGCAGAAATACTTAATGTATTTTTTTGCTTCTTTTTTTATAGAAGTCAAGGTTTAATACACAATCTTTTATAACATTAATTGCTTCCAGTTATGTAAACCAGATGCAAACAAGAGAAAAATATATAAAGAGATTGATCAGAAATGTTTTTCCAATGATTGCCAATAGTAGTGCAATAACCCTCCTCCTCCATATGTGAGCTTAGGACCACTTGGGTAGTTGGTATTCAAACAAACCGATCGATTGTTTGAATAAAATCAGGGTTGGTTGTTGACGTGCCAATAGAACTTCATCTTTGACGTTGCTATGCCAAAACTCCTAGCTAGCACACACAATACCATCTGGACAACATAAATCCTTGCAAAAATAAATCCCTAGAAATATTAATTAATTTCCATGTTGAACCCATAAAAAAGAAAATGAAAAGGATGATGAAACTAATATTTGATCCAACCTCCCAACTTGCCTTTTTTTTTTTTCTTAATCTCTTATTTAGGGTTCTTCATAGTCTGCTTATTGGAAATGCTTATAACCATCTCTTGATATGACATTAAACAAAACCGAATGGCCAAACAAGATTCATGTAGGTTGGGACAAGGCTTAGATGATGATGGTGATGATACCAGTTTTTGAACTAATTGCATGCACACAAGGGATATTCGTAGACTTAATTTGCTTTGATTTTATATATGCCCAATTGTTAATTTTATTTTTATGACACTAACCATAAGGATTCCTTCACCAGATAGTTTCATAATGGAATTATCAAATAAATTTATGCCATCCAGCCTGCCATTGAATGGCACGAGAAATTAATAGTCTTTCAATGGCAATCAGGCACCATATTGCTTGGTGCCGTGGTAAAATTTTCTAGTGGCAATGTGAAAACGCGGGTTCAAGTCTAAAAGCAATCACTTTGTGCAGAAAAATGCCAAAGGTTAGATTTCAATCCAAAGTCCAAACAATTCCTCCCTAAACTCTAAATAGCCGGGACCAATATTGGTTGGGTAATATTCTGAAGACTGTTCAAATGATTATCAGACATAAACACTGCCCAAGGGCAACTTAGCCCTCCTCAACCAAGAATACGCGCTTTTCTTTGTTCTAGAGTGGGTTGACCTAAATGAACCCACTTTAGAAAAAGGGGGGTTCACTCTAGAGAATGGCTAGTCAAGCTTGTCCAAGCCTCGGACTCGACCCAGGTGGACCAGAGACAAAAATTACAGCTACTAAATTAGTTTAATGACAAATATCTAGGATTTACCTTGATTGCTAATTAGTACGGATTGACTTGGAAAGAGCCCTGAAACTAGAGTTCTATAAGAGGGTGGTAACAGGGGAGAAGATATCCTTTAGAGCATCAACTGATCAAAGTCAAATGCCATTCTTATATATATATAATAGTATTCTATAGTTTTTTGTTGGTGGTTGCATTATTAATCTTTTAATTCCCTAAAACTGGATTCAATTTTATATACCTTCACTCCAAGTAGTTAGAAGGATGCTCTCATTTCTCCATTTGCATTTGTGAACTTCCTCTCTCTTTCTCTCTCTCTGCATTACTTGCAAAGATGAATAATTATATATATTAAACAAAGGATTTTGACTTAATTAGGGTTCCAAGGGGTTGTTCCTTAGCATTAGATTGAGTTGTATTTTAAGTATCAATAAATAAAATAGAGAATAAAAAGATTGAGATGAATATAACAACCATAACCCTCCTTGATATCGCTATCATCTCATCTAACACCAATCCAATGGTTGAAAAAGGAGCCTTAATTTCACTCATCGAATGCCGACTCGAAATGAATTTATAATGTATATTTATATAAACAGTATTTTTTTTTTCTTGAACCAAATGGAGCCTAAGATTCTGAAATTTAACTAAAAATTAGATTAACTATGGTTTTCCTTCATTTTCAAAAATAATGACCAATCGAACGGTTGAAATCGATTAATCAATGGACCTTGTTTGCAGTTATATACGGATAATTTAACCTACGGTTGGACCCATGTCATTGTTACTAGTAGTTTAAGGCCTTGATTTACAAGACAAAGCAATCAGAATAATCCTCATCAAGGAACAATATACTTTTTTTTTTCTGAACTTTTTGGTGGGCCAAGGAACAATGTTATTTAAGTATATGGATAATTGGAGGGGACAGAAAAGTCAATCAATAGTTATTGAAGCCTCTAATTGGACAATGTTGTTTTCACAAGGGTGGAGTTGCTGAAATAAACACATTTTTTTCCCTAGTATTTCCACGGTATTGACCAAATACTAGAGGGCAATTTATCTTTGGTGTATTGTCAACTATACCCTTCAGTGTCCTGCCATTACATATTAATAGTTGGAAATGAGAAATGGTAGGAAGCAACGAGTTTATGCAATTCTTAGTTTCTTCCACCCTACAGCGGCGAAGTATCAAGAATTGCATAGAGAGTAGCAAAGGAAAATGTGTATATGATTCTTTGTATATATGCTTATGAGAATGTGCTGTATCATGTATGGTGGTGGTGGAAGGCTCTAACTATGGAATAAATTACACAAACATCAGACTCTTTAAGTACATCTCCTTCAATTTATATTTCCTTTTATCTTTTAATGAAAGAGGGATAAAATCTAGAAAAAAGAAATAACAGAAAATTAGTACATAACTCCACAGAATTTGTAATTATCAAGAGAATGATTTAAGATGGGTTTTTGAGAATTTTCTTATTTGCATTTCTCTGTAACAAACAATTGATAACATGCCCAAATGAGAAGTCATAGAAGCTCAAATTTCCAAGATTCTTGATCCAAAACTATTCTTGGGTACTCGCGAGGAGGAGAATCAACGGCTAGTTTTCGGTCACCATCTTCACAAATCAAGTCCCAATAGTTGAAATCATCCCAGAAGCCATTGTTGTCGTATTGAAGCCAGTCAAAACTTGAGAACTGCAAGTCTTCAAGCATACCAGATGAACCAGAGGAAGATGAAGAGGAAGAAGTTGATGAAGAAGGTAAGCAGGGGGCTAGAATCTCATCAAATTCAATCATGGGGACTTCATCAGTGCAGAAAGCATCATTTTTCTCTGTATGGCTAAATGGGCTCGTACTACTTTTTTCTTCCTCTGTAATCTCAGTAACAGATGACTGCAAGGAAGTCTCTGGTCCCTTGTTCTGGTCTTCTTCACATATGGCAGCCACAGAACACTTTTCTTGCTCTGGCTGTTTCTGTTGTTGTGGTTGATCAATTGAAATAGAAATTGGTTTGTGGGTGACAGGATCAATTCCCATCTTCCTCAATTTTTTCTTGATGTGGGTGTTCCAGTGGTTCTTTATCTCATTATCAGTTCTACCAGGGAGATGAGATGCAATTTTGGACCATCTGCAAAATCAAGAAAAAACAGAAACTATCAGGAGAATGTGACATGGAGGATTAGAAAACTTAGCCAATAAGATCAATTAATTGTGGAAACAGCAAAGAATAAAAGACTAAACAGAGAGATAAAGAGAGAAGGAAAATAAAGAAGAAGAACCTGTTGCCAAGGCGAGCATGGAGATCAATAACCATCTGTTCCTCAGATTCTGATAGCAAGCCCCTTTTCAAATCAGGCCTGAGATAGTTTGTCCATCTAAGCCTGCAACTCTTCCCACACCTCAACAATCCTGCAACAGTTGAAACCACAAACAAATTCAGCGAACAATAATTGAACAAGAGAACTATTTTCTTGTCTTAAACTCAAGTTCAATGACCTCTTCTCTTTCACCTGTCTTCTCTTTTTTCTTATATCCTCTTCGTTTTATAAGCAAAATCCATTTTTCTTTCCTAAACCAAATTTTATTTTGTCTAATCCAGAAGCACCCATTACTAGATTTCTCAAAAAAAAAAAATTCAGATTTCCAAAACCCAGAAAAATCTTACAAACTTGGACAATCCTAGAGATGGAAACCAGCCACCAAAAGAGCCCACCCATAAACCACTCTGTTTCTCTGCATCTCTCTATTCTATTTATTGATTATAAGCCTAATTGAGTAAAGAGCTCAATTGGGTTTTGAGAAATTGTGATCTGTTTAGACCTGCAAGCTTAGGAACAGCTCTCCAGCAGCATTGGCCATTAGTGAGGATGAAGTTGATGAGCTTCTTGTCCTCGTCAGCTGTCCATGGTCCCTTCTTCAGTCCAACTTTGTCACAGCAAGGTTGCCTTCCCATCTTCTAACACAAACCAACCCGACCCAGAAAGCAAAAAAAGATTGTATCGAGAGAAACAGAACGGGAGAAGAAAAACAAGGATGAATTCAGAAAGAGAGAGGAGCAGATAACTAGGAGAATGTAAAAGCCACCACCTTGATTTATAAACCAATCCCCCCCCACCCCCACAAGACAAAGGGCCCTCCGCCCCTCCCTCTTGTGAAACACAAGACTTTTCACACGTGCTGATCACCCACGTGGGACGTCCTCTTCAGAAAGCGCCACCTCATCCGATGCCTTTGCTTGCGTTTCACTCCCCAAACACCTCAATAGAGAAAACCAGATAACATAACAAAATCTTGAAAAAAAAGGAATAAAGAAGAGCAATTATTTCTCTTGTTTATTTTTATTTTTATTTTTCAATTATGCTACTGTACATGGTAACACTAACACTACACAGTACTCCTACATACAAAACAAGTAGCCATGCATTGTTGCCATACTGGACCCACCATTCACTTGATGGGCATCAGCCAATAGAATCAGAGTAGCTGGCCTGGAACATCACAATCCCAAAGACAATGGACCCATTAAATTAATCATTGATTCATTGTACATTGATAAAAGTGTTTTATTTTATGTTTGCAACAATACAGTAGCGGGACCATCTCAGGCTCTGCTTTTATTATTTTATTTTTTATTATAATTTCAACAATTACTTGAGGGTTCAACACTTCAATTCAATTGGGTTGATGATGAATTCTCCCACTTTTTAAATGTTTGTTTTTCAGTGGAATCTGATTTCCCGGGATATTAGGATTCCTTCCTAAATTACACCAAGGCCATATTTTGTTCAGGAAATCAGGAAACAATAAATGCAGGATAGTAAAATAAATTAATAATCTGGCTCTGATTTTTCTAAGAGAAAATCTGATTTTCCACAATCCTCTCAGGCTTTTTCTCAAAAATCTTTACCAAGAATGGTGGACACGTGGGCTTACGCTGACCGTTGGACTAGTGGGCCACCGGCCCGCTACTGTACTGATGAAAGATAAAGATTGACATGGTGTGAGATGAGCGTGATGTAACTTCCAGCTTTTACAGTCGGTAATGGAAATGGAAGTACAGGGGACAGGGCCAGGCCATCGATCAAAGCCGGTTACCATATTTGTCATGTGGACCCCACAAAGGTGCCCATGGAAGCTGACTAGCCGAGCAGAGCAGTGGTAGAATTTTATACAAATGAGATTGATTCTGTGAAGAGTTAAGACTTTAGAGGCAAAGGAAAAAGTAGTGGTCAATACAACTTTACGAGGACAACTTCCACTTGCCACCAAATTTTGACAGTGCCAACTGCCAAGGTTTTTATATAAAGCCCGAAAAAGTCAGTAAATTCAGGTAGATATGCATTTTATTTTAATGGGTCAATGACCGGTTTGTCAGACTCAGGCCGGATGCAAACGAATGTTGGTCAATGGGTCATGAACGGTTTGATCATCCAACCGGTTTAAAGAACTAGTAATTGATTAAGATTTATGGTGGAAAGCCAAAAATTTGGTGAAAATGGTTGAATTTGGATCTAGTGTTTTTTTTTTTTCGAATGCCCAAAAATAAAGTTGGTGACCAACCAAATACTAAAAACAGTGCTTTTCCAAAAGGTCTATCTCAAAAAGCGACTTTTTCAAAAATTCATTTAGGCCAAAAATCACTCACATATATATTAGGGTTATATTTGAACAAATCAGCATTTCTTAGAATTGGGCATCACTCACATATACTTAGTTTCTGGTCCAAACGGTCTGGATGTAAAGCCAAGCCAGACTATGACTTAATCATCTGTTAAAACAAAGGTGCATGGCTTCACTTTATCTCAAAAGCCTGAACTCATCAGCTCAGCAAGGGCTCAAGAGAATTAAAGACCCTTGCATCAGTTTGCAAGGCTGAGCCTAAATCAATTACCAGGGAAAATTCCTTTCTCCTTTCGTTTTCTAAAAGAATGATTTGGTCATTGAATTTGATGCCCAAAAAGGAGGAGGGCATTTCTCCCTCTCAAAGGAGTTGTTGAGATATGAAAGCTTAGTTTTTAGTTTTCATATAAGGCTGCTTTCAGAAATATTTCATCATCCTTATCGTCATCCTCGCATAGCAGAGTCAACAGCAGTAGTCGTGTGCATTACTATTCCACTTTCTTGGTACAAATTTGAGAATGATTTTTCATACTTGATTGAGCTCCTATTAAAACAAGTTTAACAGTTCAAAATAAAGGTATATTTCGATTAAGGCTGCATTTGATTGTAATGGAAAAATCCTCTGTGTTAAAGAGAGTCGACGGAAAAGTGGTTTATATCGATTTCCGATCTAAACTTTACATCCCAAACAAATGACCGAGAAAGTGAACCGGGTGTGGAGTTTTACACCGGTCTGCTTTTACACATCCTAAGGCTCTGTTTGGGAAGAATGCAAATGTGGATTCAGTGCATATAGGCATTTCAGTCAATTGCTAGTATTTTATAATAATGCATTTGTTTCTTGACAATGACACAGATTTTAAGACATGTTTACATTTAAAATGAGAACAAAAGTAAATTTATCAATGCAAAACTAAACTAATTTAAAATTTACATGGACCAGAATGCATTCTATATATTTGTATTTGCATTCTTCCCAAATGGAGTCTAATTAATTGCCACACATGCACAAACTCATATTCAAATACCATGAATCTAACAGTGATATATAGATGGTGATGATCAAGGTTCAAAATATCACAATGTATCAGCATGTATTGACTGATACATGTTGGTTTTTAAACCCACCACACCCTAAATAAGAGGATGAATGTTAATACCCTCCCCATATATACTTCTTTTTTTTTTTTTAATTTCTTTTGATGGGCTACACAATTGGGGGTAGCCCATCCTCCAACTCAAGTGCAGGTGGGATTCGATACTACGACAACAGGAGACCTTACCAATAACCAGCTGGTTGGCACCTTACTAAACATAACATTATCAACATCTCTCCTCATAGATACTTTGACTTGATTCTTGAAGCCCAAACCATTCTTAATCCTAGTGTATCACCCTTTTGAATTGCTCCATATGGTTGATACCCTTCCCATATATACTTTGATTTAATTCCTGAAGCCTAAAACATTCTTAACCTTAGACTATTTTTTATTTGAAGGAAGGGGTAGGGAAAGGTAGAAAAACCTATAAAAGATTTGTAAAGGTTTTTCTTCCTTTCCCTACTTCTTCCTCCAAAACAAACACAGCCTTAATGTATCGCCTAAGGGTGTCAATTGGACTGGATTTGGTCCAATCCGGTCCAGTCCAATGTGAGTCCATTATAAATGGACCAGGTCCAATCTGGCCCAATAAATATTTTGGACCATTTTGGATCGGTCCAAATCAATGTCTGGACCATCCAATCTGTTCAAATTCATTTTGATTTAGATTGGTTTCAACCCAAACCTGGTCCATTGACACCTATATTCTTATCTTATATCAATGGACTAGATATTGACTTAATCCAACCCAATCCAATATAAATTTATTATGGATGTATCAGGTCCAATCCAATTTAATAAATATTTTGGACCGGATTGGTCCAATCCAATATGTCTTATTGGTCCATCCAATCTATCCAAATTAATTTTTGACTGAATGGGGTCCAATCCAAAACCGGTCCATTGACACCCTTTATATCCCCCTTTGAATCGCTCCATATGGTTAATACCTTTGCCAAGATATACTTTGTTTTTAATCTTAGTGTATCATCCCTTTGAATCGCATACTTTGAATGATACATATTCATAATTCATATGGGAGTTAAAGTAACTCTCTCTCTCTCTCTCACACACACAATATCATCTACATGCACTTTTTTTTTTCTTATCTAGCTAAAATACTACAGATATTCCATTACTAAATTATCATTAAAACATACGTCATTCACTTCCTATTTTTACTAGCTTTTTTTTTTATATTGATGTCAAATATGAAAAGTTTCGCTCAACCTTCATGATGAGAAAAAAAAATCATGATGAAATAAATTTTTACTATAATTTTTTGTTTAATTGAATTACTTAAGATAAACAAAGAGGATAAAATTATATAATTTTTTTTAAATGCTACAAGAGATTATGGGATAGAAGTTGCCAATGGAAAGAGATATGGAGAACCATATCGACTCATGTCGGTAATACCCATAGCAATTAATCTCTCTTGGTAGGTACTGATTTGATATATAGATAAATACATAGAGACAGTTCCTGGTAAGGATGTGAAACAGAATTTGATAAATATTTGATAATTACTTTTTTTTCTTTCATAAATGAAGATAATTAAAAATATTTAACTTGAATATGCTATTCACAATTTGATAAATACCCATGAAGACCTTTCTGCTAACAATTGATTAAAGACCCAGAAAAAATGATTTTCCATAAGAGAGATGACGGTGCAGGAAAGCAAACACTGAGATAAACAATATATACCCTATAGCGTACTGTTCATCACTTATTGGCTCAAAATTTGGTGATACTTGAAAAAAATTATTGTTTTTCTTGTTCATTTTTCAACTAAACAGTGGTGATTATAGTGGGATTTACATGGTTTTTGCCAATGTTTTCCAAGCTGGACTGGATCGAATGATCGGATCGAATGGATTTGATATGAAAGGACATAAAAGGGATGGAAATAAGTTAAGGTTGGTTAGATATGAAAGGACATAAAAGGGATGAATGGATTTGATTGGACAAAAGGGCAGTTTACCAAACAAACGTTGAAGGTATGCAGACAAGTGAATATATATTAAAGACCAAGTAATACATAGAGTTGAGGACGAGTGCACGTTTTAGTTATTTTTCTTCTTTTATTAATGAGAATTAAAGATATGTTAATACATGATTTGATAAATATTAAGGCTGCGTTTGGTTGCAATGCAAATAAATTTGCATTGATGTAAAACCATGGCAGTGCAAATTATTTGAGTGTAAATTCTGACTTATTTTTGTTTTAAATTTTAGCTTATTTTGTTTGATTATAGTACAAATGAAGTAAATTAAGAAATGAAGCAGAATAAAGTAAAATTAAACAAAAATTTACATATTTTACATTTGCACTCTCATGCATTCGT